CCTTGCTACGAACTACCCGGACCCGACCCTTCACCCCGCGTTCACGGTTCGTCCAACCTGCGGCATCGGACGCACCTTCGCGTCAGTCCAACCTGTTGATCTAGCTGAGAATAAACTCGATCCCTCATTATGGAAAATACCGAGATCCCGGCACGAGCGTGAGTTCTCGGGTATCGATTTATATACCCGTCAGCGTCGTCGAAAATGAAGAGCCGATAAAATATTGCTCGGTTAATGATAGTATCTGTCTCATCCCGATTTCTTCAAAAGGCCATGATCTACGAGCTTGATAATTTAATAGGAACAACTGCTATATGCGAGAGGCGCCACTAAATTTACAGAACTATGATATAAACATTATTACACGGAAAGAATGGTTTTACTAGAAGGTCAAAAAATTTTGATCTAAATATAATTTTGTTGGACTATCAAAATAATTTTGATAAAAACTTAAAAAAGGATTGCTGTAAAACATTTTAATATCCTAGCAATCAGTTGACTTTCCAGCAAAATTATTTTGATGGTCCAACAAAAATTATTTTCAAATCTGTATCCACCAAAACTTTTAGAGAAACTCTTTTAGCAAAATTGTTCTGTCCGTGTACATCACGTTTTATATTATGAAGCAAGCATATTAATTTTATTTGTAAAATTTATCGCACTATTAATACAATTATCGAATTGTAAATAATACATCCTATTTTCTCTTAAAAATTTCATCTATATCGTTTTACGGATCATTCCATTGATTCCCGGAATGATGAATTGAAGAAAAATAAAACAATATACAGCGAACCGGATGTCGAGACAAAATAAAAGAAAAAATAACGAGGAACAGATTACACATCCGAAAAAGTTCAAAATAAGAAAGATGCAACAAAGACCTAAGAAATACATAATTTTGCTGTCGACATTTTCGTTGGAAAAATACGCTTCCTCTTCAATGAATAATATAAGTTCTCTTGCAAAAACAAAGGACGCGTACAGATGTATAAGGCGACCAATATGGATAACACATGGTGTCGAATTACCTCAGTCTTATTGGACGATTTTCGGGCAGTCAAAGACTGAAAAAAGCTGCGCGCACACAAAAGAGTTCCGATTGAGTCGAACTCGATACGAGCTGCCAAGATGGCGAACCACGTTTTTTTTCATTTTGCGAATCATACTTCGAACACCTGTCCAAAATTGAAGGCTGCATTTCGAAGCTTGAAAGTACGACTTAATTCATACTTATTCTGAACGATAAAATGGATCTACTCTGCACAAAAAATCTACGATATTCCATGAATATTACGTAACGCAAATTTGATTTTTCAGTTCAAATTTTATTCGTTGAACAAAGTATCGGATACGGTAGACCGCACACCGCGGACAAAGGTGGCAAATATACGGTTCCTCCTTTTCGAGGTCACTCATCGCCCGTGCCGTACCACCTGCCGTTGATACAGCCGAGCTTACGCACCACCCTCCCAACATATTGCTTCGATCTTAATGTCCATTTTATAATGAAAAGGTAATTGTTCCCGTATATAAAATGTATAATGTAAATGACTCTTTCTTATGATGTCAAAGAAACATATACGTTATAGAAATGTATAGAGTTGATATTGCACAATAAATCATAATTTACAGTAGTATCGATAAAGATTCGTAAATATAAACAATTGTTAATTTACGAAGCAATAAAAATCAATACTTCATTTATTTTTAAATCTACATTTGAAGGAGATAACAGTAAAAAAAACTATTAAAATATAATAATTCAGATATTACTTTGCTCGATAAAACGAGGTCATTTGATTTTTAACGATCCCTCGAGAGACCGACGAACTGCATGCAACCGTCTGTCGTGGGTCACGTAAACGCGGGTGCGCCACCCGGCCAGGTGTTTCACGACGTACGCCGATTTTGTGGGTCGTCCTGGCAGACAGACACCCCGAGTCGTGCGTTTGGCACATGACTGGCGGCAACATATTTTGCCCCGTTTATGTAGGTCACAAGTTATTGCGCGGGGTTATAATATTCAGGGCCGTAAGAGCCGAAACAGCCGTCGGCTACTTCGTTATACATCGTCTTGATATGTCTAAGGAAACGAAACTTTGCTTTTCTCTATAACAATTTCTGTCGAAGACAGAAATGGTTATACTGACAGAAATTCCAAACTAAAGCTTCAAACCGCCGATAGACGAAGAAATGATTGATATCTAAAGCAATATTATGTTATTTCAGGCACAATTGTAATCCTGTGAAACAAACTGTAGCAAGATAAACAGTTCTCAGTGTAACAGTTCTTTCAAATTCTGCTAATCTCTCGACAAACCTCCTAGTCAACAAATCGACAATAAAGTTATGTAGTAAGAGCCAGTCTCTGAAAGAAAAGTTTTCACAAAGAAATTTCATAACTGTGGCCACGAGCCTGACATAACAAAATGCGGTTTATTCGAGCAGGTGTTACGCAAGTAACGAAGCACTCGCTGCCAAAAGAGCCGAAACACCTGTCCATTTTTATCAAGCGTATTACACACATTACATTCACACTTTGGGGGCAACATGTCCGCTCGTCCACGTGCAGAAGGAAATGAGGTAGCTTCGGACCACATGTTCGCAAGAAGGCCGGAACCGATGTTTCTGCACATCTTTCATTTACCGGTCTAACGGTTAAAGATTACCAATTACAATGTTTCAAAGAACGAAAGAATGCCACATACACAAATCACAAGCTCACCAACAATTATTCTAAACTATGGATAACGAAAAAAAAAATGAATGAAGAACAATCCGTTTGTTGTATCATTATCCATTTTCGATTCACGATATACGTACGCGAAATGCATCAGTCAATTAATAAACTCTAATTTCTTCTAATAAAAAAATACGAAAAATTTTAAATCTTTGATTTGTTTGATTTATATAGCATTTTATTTAAAAAAAATGTTAAAAAGATATCCTAAAAACTGATTATATGCAGGTGCGACCCCTTTCATAAGGTCTCTTCTGCGCCTTGACTTCTCAAGGCGAATGGAGAAAGAGAAATCGTCCTTCGTCTTTGAAATGAACCATTGGTCCCATTGATGGTCTGAAATAACCAATGGACGACCCTTCAATCGCAGACAGGTGTCGCTTCTTCTCCAGCATCACAGAGATGCGAGTTAGGAATGATGACAAAGGGCCAGAGCTCTAACATGTGATTATAGCGGTCATTGTTAGAAAGAGGTTTTGAATAACGTGAATAATGCGCAATTTAGTTGTTCCATATACCCTCTAACATGACGAAACCTCAACTCCCCGGGGACCTTGCTATTACCGGCGGTTTGGGATAGGTCAATCCATTGATGTGCTCGCCCATTTTTAAGTTTAACAGACGTAGACTCTAATAGACGTAGGGTGTGCGTGATGCTGTTATATGCCATTCGTTTAATTAAATTAACCGACAATACATCTTCATTAACGTAAAATGATCAACGATTAAGAATTATTAATCACGACTGCGATCGTGTTGATACCCTTGACAATAAAAAATCGTGTCAAGGTTTCCTGTAATATATGTGTAACATATATATAACAATGGTTGCACGCGATGTCGACATATAATTCAATGTTTGTTACGCTGTAAAAAAAAAATAAATAAAATGCATCCGTATTCAAGCTTGATTTCATGCCTTCACGAAACTAGCCATAAATTGTGAACAAATGTAAATGTCTTTTCACATATTGTCAACGTAAATGCCTTTCAATATGTTCATACTACTTTTTTATGTGAAATTAAAGCATAAGAAAACTATGATGGAAAATATCTTCAATTAATTTGAACTACCGGAAATTGAATATTGACCTCGCTTAACATCGATCTGCCTGTTTCGTGAATGATGCTATGAGTAATATGAATGACTAAGATTTCTTCTTCCTACTTCCACCACTCTCCAGATGATTTCATCGCAGCGACCTAGATAATGATTAAGATCTCGTATGCATATATCAAATTAGGTCACGAGATAGTTTATAAATAATTTGTAATAGACAATACAGTTCAGTCAAAACGATTGATGTTATAATAATGTAAGAATTTACGTTACATTCGCGATTATTATTATTATACTTGCACTTGCTTACTTTGCCTGCATGATAACTTTTCTTTCTACGTTCTTTCATTCATCATAAACACTTTTATATAAAAATTCAGTTGCGAATAAAAACTATTATGGGGATGCTTATTCTAAATAAAAAATAAAATTAAAAGAAGACAATAAAAACAACCGATTATGGCCATTGAGATATTTCAATATTGAATTTTTAACTAACTTATATTATTAATAATGAACAATACAAATTCATTTATTATTGCATTCAATATGCAAATGACATATTACGCAATTTATTCTTGACAGTAATCGTCATATGAAGTCTCATTGTTTATTATTTAAATAAGTATGATTGCCAGTATTCAAATAGTTATCTATAAATGCCATTTATCAATATAATTATACATTAAAAATGTTTATAAAGACAAATATAAGATATAACCTTATAAGGTTCTTCCGCGACCTACAAGGGCGCGTGAGGTCAATATGCGTGGGTTGTTGCACCGGGTAAGTTATCGGATCGATACAGCTTGCACCGGGGTGCACAACCCGGCTAGCAACGACCCACCATCGCATCCCACCACCCTATCCATAGCAACAGGCAGCTATTTACGCGTGCCAGGTTAACCCGTTACGCGCGTGTCACTTTCTGATTAAATGATGACCGCGCAATCAGGATCTTTTCTACCTCGTGTTCTCAGAAATATCAGATTAGAAAAGCACACGAATGTGACCGAATATATCAGCAGATAATTTCAAATATTAAAAAATATTTTCAGATATCTGTTGTAAAAATTTCAACCAGCATTTGCGTGTAAATCTTTATAATATTATTAAAATTAATCGTATTGAAACGCGATTTTTATGTAAAAAATAAGACGTCATTTATTGTATGTTACAAATAATTCTACATACCTTCCAACAGATTTTTTTTCCAAAAAAAGCTAAGAAAAAAAGAAGGGAGATGCACAATAATTTTTGACATAGACAAAATGACGTTTCGTTGATTAAACTGCAACTAGAGGTTGACGCCGCCGAAGTATCCGGAAATGTCTAACTGGGTGGGGCAGCGATTTGACCTTTCGGAAAACTCAGTTAACTAGAGCCAGATTGGAAGTGGGTGTCATTGTAGATGGAAGCGCAAGTCACAACCGGGAAATGGGTTAAAGGTTAAAGGTAAAAGGTTACAGCGAGCACTCTCATCCCTCTTTTCATCTCGTGCGTTCTCATCTCTTCTCCGCACGAAGATGTGTTCTAGCACCTTTAAGAGCGGAAAACAACGTCACATATTTATCATTCTTTCATTAATTTTCAAGATTACCTCCCATAAGATATTCTCTAAAATTTTCAAGATACAAGTAAGATTACATGTACAAATCTAACCGTAAACACAAGCAGCTGTAATTCGTTCCAACTTTTAACATGCGACATCTTGAATGATCGCGCTTGTGTAATACAAAGATAGGACGAAAAAGGGAAGATGCGAATGAAACCAGTCAGAATCGGCCTTGACTCGAAGACCAAAGTTTTTTGAGAGGGTGGCGAGGTCCTTAATGGTATACCAGTAGGGAGAGGAGCAAAGATAACGCGAAACGAGTATCAGAGGGTGGGGTCATTTTCACAGCTAGTGACCTCTAAATTCCCCAAGAGCGCGCACGTGCCTACAGTATCTTCTCTCCCGTTTCTCGTCAAGGACAAAATATTTTCGCCTGACTATTATCATTTTACGAGGAGACCACGTATTAAACATCGAGATTAAAATCTAAAAGTGATTAATACGAAAAACAGAATCATTCATTAATTACGTAATTTTTGTCCATTGATTAATGTCGTATAAAAAAATGCAATTAATATTATTTATTATAAACGCTTTTTGTAATAAAATAATATAATTTATATTATATTTTTTATTTCAATCAAATTACATTTTCACTGATGGACTATAATTAAAAAACGATGTGTGTGGGAGTTCTTTCCTCTTTCTCGCGTATGTTTTTCCTCGTAAAAGCACTTTTCCTAGGAGACCGACTGTGTGTTACGACATCTAGTACCAGTATGGCAGTGAGGCGGGTCGGAGGCCAAGGCCGAGTAAATTCGCCCTGTGGGAGTGCCTATCCATTCAAAAGCTTCTGTATGGCTTCTCGACTCGACACTCGACACTCATCATACGAAGTTTTATAACGCTCGTGACTACTAAACTGCGTAATTTTTCTGTCCTCTATACTACAATATTGTCGACAAAGAATATTTTGTAATACTAATATACATTGTGCACTTCTAATTTTTCGATTCGTTAGTAATATCTCACACAAGTATTTTGTACAAATTATACTATTTATATTAATTTAAAAACAAATATTCATGAATAAATTATCTCCTCGAAATTTATAAATAATTAAGATCTCGTTTTGTCAAATTACGTCATAATCTATTCGTAAAAGTAGTCGTCCTTTCGCCCACCAATTATTTATCGAAAATGATAATACCGATAGCACGATATCCGTGCCTCGTGTGAGAATGAAATTTGCAAATCGTAAATCAATATTTCTGTAAATATCAAGAATTACGATGTGCCAAAATTTTCGACAAACAAGCATTTTTAGAGATCAGCAAATAGCGATTATCTTATCTCGATAATTACTCTGTCTACAATATACAAGTAATAATGTTGCGGCCAATTTAATGTCTTTTGAGATAATTATAACCGACCTTGAGAAATGCAATAAATATTCAAACTGTAAGCTTACTTAACTTTAATTATTACTTCATTAACAAATTCCTTTTTTCTTTATACAAATTCTTTTATTACTTCGAAAAAGTTATATTCACACATTTTTTAATGCTTTATGACAGTGATGTGCGTCACGTCGATACGTGATTCGACCGCGACCGTGAACCATACCAGGAAAAGCGACGGAGAAAATGCGCACCGGTGACAATCGGGCCTTATCAGTCGTGTGCAGCACAAATAAACGGGCTGAATGCAAAGAAGCGAATAGAGAGGAGGAGGGATGCGGGAACGAAGGAAAACGGCATGATGTCAAGTTCAAGGATGCAGAACACGTGACTAATCTATGACTTTGCATGTACAATCGAAGGAGATACATGTAAATAGAAAAATCATGTAAATAACATTGAAATTAAAGTAAAACTCACGGTATCGATGGTAAAACGAACGATATCGTTGTACTATTAGAAAAATATCTCTTTATAACGGCCCGCAAATGTTTCATTAATATCTTTTTGTATTATGTAAAAACAAAAAATGTGCAAAAGCTACAAACAGTTTTTATTCATCGCGAGCAAACGTGACGCGTGTGTAATTCCTAGAAACCATGTACGTGTACAGATGTAATTCCTGAAAAGTAGAGCTCACTCTCGCATCATAAAGAATCACCTTGAATGACAGGTGCATCTTGTCACGCGCGCGCACGCGCGTGCCAATCTGTTCGTGATTAAGTCGGTCCGCTCGTACGTATATATAAATTCTGCTAAAAAAGCCGTAAGACACTTTCACGGAGCGATAAACGCTTAATAAATTTTTGTCTTATAGAGTATAGACGATTAGACAGTGAGAAATAGAAAGTTACAAGGCGATAATATGTATAATCAATGCGGAAGGAGAAAATACCATCTGGTCTGGGTATGCGGCACTTACATATATAGCCGGAACATTCACGGGTTAACGGCGCGGCTCGTTGAAGGTTAAACTCCTCGACCTTCGACGATACGTCGATTACTTGAAAATAGCCGTTGTTGTTGGAGCAATGCGCGCGCGACACACGATGTCCTACGCACACTCGTCTCATCAGAGATGTCCTTCGCGGACGTTCTTTTAACGGCGCGCACATGTACATGCACACCGCGCCGGCCACACGCGTTTCAACATAGACATACACGTGACACGGGACTGAATACAAGAATAACGCAATAACAAAACTTTTGTCGATTAATCATAAATTACAAAGTAGGGAAACGGCTGCGCTTCGTAGGCCGTTTATTTCTAGCCGGACTTCGGCCGGACGAAACAGTGCAACGGAAAGCATTTCTATTTTAATTGCATTTCTATTCGTTCGTCAAATATTAAGTGCAATTCTTCCATTATACATTCATTTGTGTGCGCGATCAATTGAAAGCGTTACCGTATATGCCTATTGTCAATATTGCCCCTTGTCGCGGTTAAGCGACCAAAGTCCAGCCTTCGACCTTCCCCCGGAGGACGATATCCTATTGATAGGAACAGAATAAAACGTTGCCCTGTGTTTTATCGGAAACGTTTCAAGTGACAACAACGATGTGATGAAGCAGTACATTCAACGCTTCGAGTTCAGCACTTTAATACTTTTTAAATTAGATTACACAGAATTTTCGAAGTTTTCTCCAGTTTCAAGCTTTTCACTTACAGAGCTTTCGAAACTTATGATAAAGAATCTTTTTCCGAAATATATTAAATTTGTTCTCAGCTTTAAGTGAAGACGCTCTTTACTCTAAGCTTATTATTTCAATTATAAATTTTACTAAAATTTTCATTTCTTTCCGATAACTTTTCACGTTTAATAATTGTATTTAAAAAAAAAAGATTTTAAGTTGCTGTATATAATTGAAGTAACTTCGTTCGGTAAAATGTCCCTTCGAACATAAATAAATAGCAAGCCAAACCTACTTTTTTTTAAAGAAAATTCTTTCAGAACCCGATTCAGTTATTTCACAAAGGAATGTGGAATCTATTGTATACTTTGTAAATGAATTATGAATTCCCGAAATGGATCACCATTCATATGAGGGTCAGGTTTGAACTTGAAAGAAAAGTCGCCGACTACAAATCGACATAGAGCTTTCATAGAACCATGCATCAATAATTTGTATCCTGTTCAATAATTTTATATTCGACGTATTTTTAGACTAACAATAAGAACGATTTTAAATAAAGTTCAAAAAACATTTCATTAAATTTTAAATATGTCTACGATCTATCATCTACATTTTGGCTCAATATATGTTTTCCTTCTAGTTACAACTTAATTAGTACAAGTGTATATTCTTTTGTAACAATCCCGCCTTACGCAAACAGTTATCAATTTTGCCGACACACGAAGAACAGTCAAGGCCGCGGACCTCTCATTTGAATATAAATTGTACCAATTAGACTCACCTTTATTCCCGCCGCGTCTGTTTGTTCGCTGATTGGTCGAGATTATGGTACTGCTATCGCGCTTTAACTCCCGACGCTAAACTTCATCGCAAGGTCAAAAGAATCGTTCGCTCTTCTTCTTATTTGAGCAAAGACAACACAGCATCTGTAAAATATTTTTTTTCCAACTAAATGCGTACTTCTTACTTTACGTTTCTAACATCTTTTTTTTTTCATCAATAACTTCACTTTTGGACAACAATTATCGTATCTGCTTATATTTTCTTGTATCACGGAGAGAATTTTATTTTAAAATTTACCCTGAAAATTATGTTAATCATAAGACAATATAATATTTCGACGAATTTTATGTGATTTTCACTATTTTTTCAAATATATACTACAACAAATTTATTGTAGTGTACAGTAAAATTTATTGTAGTGCACAGTAAAATTTGCCGAAATACTATACCTATTGTTCCACATGATTAACATGATTTTCAGGGTAAATTTTAAAAGGAAATTCTCTCCGTGACAAATTTATGCGTGAAGTAGAACTAATTCTCTATTCTTTTAACGACAAGAATTAAACGGCAAGTTAAAGAATTACGATAACGAGACACACAGAATTTTATATAGAAAAAAAAAGTTCAGTTGTTTCAAAACACAAATATATGTATATGTAAATTCATTAATTCTCGTAAATCTATTTACCGCCAAATTAAAAATTAAATGAGCACATTTAGATGTCGCGGAAGGAAAGTAAACATATTCTCGAATTAGCGAGCGGTACGAGGAAATTGCGGTTTCTGCGTGATCACTGTTCCCACAATCATGGGTGCATCGCAATCGCGAGATCATTGCCGATCTTGAAACGCGACGCAGGATGTTGCGGCGAAGAGCTATCTCATTTTTACCGACGCTTCCGTCCGCACGTACAACATGATCCTTATCCTTTAGGGATAAGTTACAACGAAATGAAAACGAGCGAGGTTTTCGACTTGCGACAATTATAATTTGTTTAATAAATTATAATAAATCACCCTGATTAACCGATAAAAAATACCTGCCATTCCTAAGATTGAATTCCGCCAATCAATTACGTTAGATCGCAATAACGTTAGATCGTGTAAGCACGATCTGAACTTAACGAAGGTCGCCACGGTTGTCAGCACGATAACCATCGTATCGATCGCGTATTATGCACAATTCCAGAATATCGATCGCGACGTTCTATATCGCGTGCTATTCTTCAAGATGTAAATGAAGATAAGATATTATCGAGATTATTCGAACGTAGGCATTGTTCTCGACGATAAATCTACTTTTTGTCTCGTAAAACAAACGCACTCCTTTTCGTTTCCATATCACTCGGAATGGAAAAAATATTGTTTGCATCGAAATCACTGAATTCGCACTTACTCAATCCGTTCGAGTCTGCAAATTTTGCACTTATCGACACGCTGTAAAATGATACGTGTCTTCCTCCTCGGCGTAATAAAAATCGTCAGAAACGTTACGGTTTGTAAATCTTATAACTGCAAAAAGAATCCGGAACGACCTCCAAACAAATAAACGACGTACTTTAGAAGAATAACAGCATCTTTTGAGTAATTTAAAGGACAACTTTCAATATTGTCCAAGTGACAGGGTAACGGTACATGGAAACGATTTGAAAAACATACATCAGATTAATGTCTCGCCAGGCAAGACAATAGAAATCAACTAGAGTTCTCGTTCAATGCCGACGCTTCGTATGTTCGACTCTCTTAAGGGGTTATATACACTTGCAGCGCGAAAGATGACATTTTCACGATTTTTTTTTCGACAGTAAAATAAAAATTTATTTAAAAACTATTAATGGTATTATTTAGTACATGTTTTGGAGTACATGTCAAATTTTTTTTGTTAAAAAATATTTTAAAATGGCGGAACTGCAGCTGTTGCCCTGGAGCGCCTAGTTTTCAGCGGTGGACAAGATTACTCGAGAACGGATCATCTGAAATGTAAAAATATTTCGTTAGTATATTGTATTATTTAGTAGATGAACGAAGGATTTTCAGTTTAATCAAAAACTTTTTTTTTTACGGCAAAAAACTCGAAAATTTAACACCTTGAAAAATAAACTTTTTGTTTAAACCGTTACCATTTTTTTAACAATTGAAATTTTGATAAATCCTTCGTTCATCTACTAGATAATACAATATACTAACAAAATCTTCTTACATTTTGATTTCAGATGATCCGTTCTCGAATAATCTTATCCACCGCTGAAAACTAGGCGCTCCAGGGCAACAGCTGCAGTTCCGCCATTTAAAAATATTTTTTAACAAAAAAAATTTGACACGTACTCCAAAACATGTACTAAATGATACCATTAATAGTTTTTAAATAAATTTTTATTTTGCTGTCGAAAAAAAAATCGTAAAAATGTCGTCATCTTTCGCGCTGGAAGTGTATATAACCCTTATGATTTGCAAAGTTTAAATAATTTTTTTTCAGCGGACACATCCTCGGGGCACTAGATAAACAATAATTGCATGTGTATTGCGAGATCGCGAAGATATAGAGGAGAGCCATCGGCCGCCGCCGTACCGATGGCCGTCCGATTCGAAAAACGCGGTTGCATGAAAGTAGCCGGAGGGGAGGTGATCGCGTCTCTCATTCACGCCTGCAACGGCATAACGGATCCGCGAGATTATTTATACGATCTCACAATGGCAGTTACGTAAGACGCGGCGCGTGGAACTGGAATAGCGGGAACTGGTCTCGAGCCAATAATTGCTGCGTCTTAATCGGTCGACGCTCGCGTCCTTCGGGGAGAGTGGCTTGAAAGAGAAACCCCGGGAGCAATCTTTGTCGAAGACATTCTTTATTTATCCGCGGAATCGAACGCTTCCGGCCATTCCAGGCCATTTCTAAAGCGCCACCGCAACTACTCGCGCCCACAAAGTTTGATTGAACGCAGGATTCGCTGCGTAGAGTATTCTTTAATTTAATCATCTCTCGCATTTGATGACGTGTGTGCGGAATATCATCAATAAATTTATACGCTTTGGCGCACTAACAGAATAATCATTACGTTTAATCTCGTTTATCTAACCGCAAATAATTGTTTTAATGAATTATACCGAACACGGCCGATCATTGTGCGTAAAGGCTAAATCAGATATCATCATGCGTGTCTACACCTCCCTTGTGTAGCGGAGCGGCTCGGGCATTATGTCGAACAAAAGTCGTAGGACCTTCGTCGATACAAATGAGCGGAGATACCGTCCTTCTTGAATGCAATTACCTTCGTCCTAATTCCGCGCTACAGCGGCATTTCAAAAGTCACTGGCAATAATATACATATAAGCACAAACTCATTAGCAAGACCGAACATGCATACAAACTTTAGGACTAGCAGAGTCACTTATTAATTTATTCCTAGAAGTTTTTAACAATTTTCTATTAATTGTGATATAATTATATATTATTGGATGATATTATTGCTAGCTTGCTGCAAATATCTAGATTGCCAAGTTATGCCACCGGCTGAATAATTCGCGCGCCAAACAGGTATGTCGAGCAACTTGAGTTTGTGTTCGCGCGCGAACAATGGGACGTAAACTAACTTCAAAGTGGGTGAACAGGTCACGCGGTTCGCAGTGGAAACGGAGTATCGTATCTTGCGCTCTTTCTCCGCGGCCAGAAAGGCTCGAGAGACGCGCGAGCCATATCGAAAGTCAGATATATACATATATATGTGGGAAAGCTTCAGGAACGATACACTATTGAAATTCATCGCTTTCGCCACGCATACACAGTCGCTTTACGCAAATAGACCTTTAAGTCTTAAGCTAACTCCTACATTTAGATAAATTTTATAGATGTAACAATATTCAATTTCTTTCTCTCGCAATTTACAATATTACTTTATGCTACGTGCTTTTTTTTATTAAATTAATTTGTCTAGAGAGAATCTCAGAATATGTACGTGTTACGTTTGAATCACTTAATATTATTCCAAAATAAGTAGCATTATATTCGTGATTGGAGATGGAATAATGAGTTCCGTATTAAATGCCGAAAATCTCGGAAGGTCCGTCGCATCACTTCTGATCTGGCGACGCTTCTCCGTTTAACACCTTTCACTTCTATTCGATATGCTGAGACATCGAGAGATCGCGGCGAATACGATTATTTAAATAACAGCTGCATCACGATCGAATGGTGCTTGATTGTACTCTCACTTTCTCTGCGATATTGCCATCGACCCGGTTTCCGACGACACAATTTGTTCTGCCAAATGGGAAAGTGAACGCTGCCATGAACGTCGTCGCTTTTGTGTTTGTCTGTGCAAGAGAAATTCTTTCCAAAGGAGTGGCAGAGCCTACCTCGCGACTCTACATATATATATATATATATATATATATATATATATATATGAGAATAAATAGATAACTACTGCATACAGAACTTCGTACAGTACAGTTATTAATCGTTCGTAATAATACTGCTTGTAAATTGAAATACAATCTTTTTGATCCTTGATCCCTTAAATCATTTGATTCAGCAAAAACATATTGAGAGTATAAAAAAAGAAAAGAAGAATATTTCGAAAACCCTTTGAAATTATGTACCATGAAATTACGTTGACCTTCAACATGCAGGAACTTTGGTAAGGTCAAATCAATAACTGTCAGGGACGACCTGACATATAGCAATCTATATCGTTGACGAATGCCTTACAATATTTCCGCTTTTATACGAGGTCATTCTGAGAGTGGTCCTCGCGTGCCACCTCGCGCACGTCGTTCATGGGTTTATGCATTTACGATTGTTGATCGTAAGGGTCTCTAGGTCTACTCCGAATGGCACAAATAATTGGCAATGATTGCGAGCGATTCGTAATAATGTAACATACATTTTACAGACTGCTAAAGAAAGTATATATTTAATAAAACATTTATTACTTCTCCTTATCAAAAAATCTTTTCTGTCAATATAATTGCAATAAACTTTATTTGAAAAATTATCGTAGTTAAAAATCGTGATAAAAAATATACTAAAAATAATATACTTATATATTTTTTTAATTTTATAAAATATATATGTATATAAATAGTATATATTTCTTCATTTTTTGTTATAAGAGCTGAACATAATCAAGATATACCGAAT